TCCTATCAAAATGTAAGATCATATCTTGTACTGAAAATTATGAAGGATTGTAAGAGTATGGTTCCATTGGTTCCAAAAAAGACCTATTTGCATCACAAGGTTGAAATTAAGGCACAGTTATGTTCACACAACATGAACATAAATCAGCAAAGTCCATTTCCAAAACAAAATACCATTGCCAAACCTCTTTTACCACCTTCACGCTTTTTCCTCCTCTTCTCTCTTTCTCTCTCTTTTTCTACTCTCTTTTTCCTTCTCTCCCTCTTTTTCCTTGCTGTTCCACAGAACAAGATTTTCAAGATTTGTTTAGATGAAGAGGGTCCTTTGGTTATGATCTGATGTGATCTCAGCCCTCCAGTGTACCCAACTCACCATCCTCCCATTACAGTATCAAGCTGTTTTTTAAATTAACCAGTGTTGTGGCCTCAACCACCCTTCTTGGCAACCTGTTCCAGTCATTAATTGCCCTTGGGTAAAGAAAACCTTCCTGTATCCATTCCGAAATGCCCTTTGCTATGCCAGTTATGTCCTCTTGTTCTATTCTATTCTGTGGAGTCCTGTAGCTCAGTGGTTAGAGCACTCGCTTTGCAAGCGAGAGACCTGAGTTCAATTCCAGGCAGGGCGAAACCTTGGGCAAGTTTCCTTACTCCACACGCCTAATAATAATCCCTTCAAAAACCAAAAACAATAATTAAATTGGTCATTTTCAATCTACGATTGGTTGTGGGACATTGCTGTGCGCAATTGGCTGCTGCGTTCGCCCACAAATATACAGTCAATTCACTTTACAGTGTGTTCTGTGAAGCGATTTGGGACGTCCTCCCGACATGAAAAGCGCTATATCAAATGCAAGGATTATTATTATTATTGTCTTGGTGCAAACTAAAGTGTTGTTCTGGGTTTATTTTTTTTGATCCGATTTAACATTTATGGTCTTTTCTCAAGATAAAGAGCCCTAGTTTATCCAATCACTGCTCAAAGCTCATCCCTCATTGAGGATCATCGGATCATCCTTATTGCTCTACTCTGCTCGGTTTCTGTGGTCTGAACAGCCCTCTTATGTTGAAGTAACCAGAACTTTATGCCCTCCTTTTTCTTTCTCCCCAATTTTTCTTCTCCTATCTCAGCGCCTTGGGACGCCTCCCAACGTGAAAGGCGCTCTATAAATGTCATTTTGTTGTTGTTGATCGCCCACATTTTGGATTTTTTGGACATAACAATTTAAGAATGCAATACATAATCATATCAACTACGTGGGTCACTACCAAAAATGTGGAAAGGCCAATTCCAAATGCAAAAATTGCTCTTGTCATTTGCATACAACATTTTCAGGAAGCTGCAATGAAAAGATTTGATTTCAGAAACTTCACTCATTCAACAGCCCTCTAATCTAATCTTAAAACACAAAAGATTGGTAAGTGGATCAAAGGCTGGCTCCTGGCATGGGAGAGTATGGATGGGCACAAAGAGAATGAAAAGTGTCAAATAATAATTTACGATTGTGTTTACCTTGCAGGGTGCTGAATAAAGTTAGCACAATGACATGGAGCAAAAATGCTTTCAGCATGCACAACAAATAGTAACACTCTCTCTTCCTAATTAATCTGTCTTCCTATTAGTAAAGGCACATGATTTCTGTGATGTGTCATTATAAAGGGTGCCAGGAACAGTCAAATCCATTCTAACATGGCACATCAAGCAAAGCCAAATTCATTTTAATAGGTTTTAGTGGTCCACATATTAATTTGGAGGTGGAATTGCTGAAATCTTTTTCCATTGAAAGAAAAAATAGCCCTTTGATTGTAGGAAACCTGGCGAGGACCTAGTACCAACGCAAAATGATCATGACCCCATGGTGAAACCATAACAATGTTGTGTTAACTTTTTATCTGTTCTTCTTTGACAAAGTGAACTTTTAGTTGTTCAATAAATTACAACAGTTCATATTCCTAAATGCTTTATACTAATTACAGATTGGAAAGAGATTCTAGGTTTAGTCATCTTGCATAAGTTTACAATTACTGATTGACAAATAGCTCCTAGATAAAAGGAATGCCAGCAAAGGAAATTATTTGCAGTAGCTTTATCCCCCTGATAAAATCCTCTATTGATTGTATTCATAAAAATTCACCAAAAATTAAATTGACCTCACTGGTCCTTCCATTGATTGATCTGTTGTGCACAACTGTATTTTCTGTTTCTTATATCAAATGCAAGGATTCTTATTCATTAACATAATAGATGTCAATATAAATACTGTAAACTGATGGAAAGTTTATTTTATGACACTGAGACATTGGGAATTCTCAAAAATGAATATTCTATTATAATTCTATTTCATTTACAGCAAAGCATTTAATGACATTCAACGATTTTTAAAATGAAGGTTAGTGACTACAAAAACAACACTTGAGAGTCAAAGAATCCCCTGAGCATTGCTCTTTGTGCAGCATTAAGCACTGAAACACAGTGTAAGAATAGATAATGCTGGATTTAGCTGGTGAATTGAGTAGGTGACAACAGGTCTGTAGTCATTGATGAAATTGGTAGAAAATGTCACCAAACATCTGCATGAGATGCGCCTTTATTTATTTAGATGTCAGCCTGGTTCAGTTGGTCTCCCCACTGGATCAGAACAACAACTAACAACTTACATTTATATAGTGCCATTCACACAAGGTGACATTTTGGATTGTTTAAAAGTGGCGGAGCCTGATAGCGAGCTGGGGAGAGAGGTGACCGTCAAAGAGAAGGTTGTGGGATCAAACCTCTTGTCAGGGATTTAAACTCAAGAGTCCAGGCGGACACTCAAATCAAGCACTAATGGAGCGCTGCTTCGTTGGAGCTGCTGTCTTTCCGATGAGATGCTAAACTGAAGTCTCCTCTGCCTGTTGAGGTGAACATTAAAGATCCTGTAGCATTATTTGAACAGTGAAGGGAATTTCTCCCTTGCTCCTGGTCAATAACACCCAATTAAAATTAGTCATTTGTTGGGGAGACATTGTTTTGCACAATTCAGAAAGGCTGCATGAAAGGCACTGTATGAAATGCAAGGATTATTATTATTTTTAATATTATTTAGGTGTCATAATATTATCACTGTAGTGACCCAACTTCAGTTTTCCCTGTATGAAAACACATGTCACCAAATGCACACCTTGTATTTAGCAGGTTTTATAATTAGGGCTCTGGAAGCCACATACTTACAGACAATAATAATAATAATCCTTGTATTTGATATAGAGCTTTTCACGTCTTCTAGATGTCTCAAAGTGCTTCACAGAATGCACTGTAAAGTGAATTGACTGTATATTTGTGGGCGAAACGCAGCAGCCAATTGCGCACAGCAGTGTCCCACAAACAGTTGTGGACTGCCTAAATTATTATTAATTTAAAAATTATTATTTGATATTTTTCTTGAGGTAATTATTATCAGGCATCTGGAGTAAGGAAACATGCCCAAGGTTTCGCTCTGCCAGGAATCAAACTCGAGTCTCTCGTTTGCGAGGTGAGTGCTCTAACCACTGAGCTACAGCACTCTATCATCAAAGTAAACTATGATGATAGATGAAGCATTCTCTATGTTTGCTTTCCTGCTGGCCCACAGGGCTTCTACTGTGGACGTTGATGGTGCCAAGGCAGAGTTCCTGTGGATCCAGTTTGATGAACATTGGTTTCTATAAGGAATCCCCATTTGTGTGACTCAAAACTCTTAAGTTAAAAGTGCCAATTGCACAAATAACACCATGAGAGCATCAACCTTTCCACTTGAGTGTCATTCTTCATGCAGTAGGGAGCAACAGTAAGCTACATAGTTTTTGTGTTTCAAATAGTTTAGGCAATCTTTTGCTGAGCTGTTATAATAAGCCCAGTGCATCTTCAGGATTAGAGAAAAGTGTTTTTAAACTCTCTGCAGCACCTGTGTGAGAGGGTATGATGTGTCTAATGATGTTGCTGTTTTTGGTGGGGCTTTAAACCTTCGAAGTTTAATTCTATTTAATTCTACTGATTTGTGGCTTGTCTGAAAAAATGCTAATAAATTAATGTATTTATATGATATTTAAATATAGTCTTCAACTAACACAAATTACAAAATTACAAATGCTGGAAACCTGAGATAAAGACAGAAAATGCAGAAGTACATAGGAGGTCAACCTTTTCGGGTTTCTAATTTTTTAAAAGTTATTTTCACTTTAGAACCCGCCAGACGAGTTGCAGTGAAGACTTTTTCAGGTCTTGCACATTTTTTTGTTTTTCAAAAAGATGGTATCTGTACCTTTCTGTATCTTTTTAAAACATATTAGTCATCAAAACTAAGTCCACAAAAAAAAACTCCCCGAGTATTTGTAGGCAATCAGTACATGTTAGTGTATAAATAGGTGGGTATATTCAACAGGGAACATTTCGGCAGAGGGTTAAAGTTACTGCAGATATTCTTCTCTCGAAGAATCCTTTTCATCAGTATTTACAAGATTTTGCAGCATAGAATTATTAAAAACAGATACAATTTCCATGTTATGCTGAATTGGAAATAGTGCAGTACAGCACTATATTAGCATCTTTGATTACGTAACAATTTTAGTTTATATTAAGTTAATCAAAGAAGCCGAATGTTGGCATCATGCCTGATCTACGTGGCTCGATTAGATAAACCAAGCAAAGGAAAAATACCCTGATAAAAATATACATATCTCCTCGAAACTGCTTGAAATATTTGGATCATTTGGATGTGATTAGCTGATGATGGGAACCTGGTCAGTAGGTACCAGTACATTAGAAAAGGATGGAGACGGCAACCGAATCAAGAGTTGGTTGCGGGACCTGAAGCTTGTTTCACTAGTTCTAATATCACTTTTTTTTTAAATATGTCGGTTTTTCACGAGTCAAACTGGGGAGAGAGAGAGAGGAGAGAAAGAGAAAGAGAAAGAGAGAGAAAGAACTAACCAGACTGACCAGACTGCAAGGCAATCCCTGACCAGGGCAGCTCGGCGTTCACTTACTTGACACCAAAGAGGATCTGTTTCTTGATGACTTTGCGCTTGCAGGGCAGGCGGCTGGAGCTGGTGATGAAGTACTCGATGTTGTGGAAACTGACCACAGAGCCTTGGGGGCATCGGAGCGATTCCCTGGTGGGGACTGAGCGCTGGAACGAAGCGTCCTCGTCGCCCAGCTCCACAGAGAGCGAGCTGTGACCCGGGGACAGGCTGCTGGAATGGGGAAACTGGTGGTTGGGAATCTCGGCCAGATCCTTCTTGCTGTTTTCAGTTCCCATCGTGTTAAAAATAACAGCGTCCAGGACAGAGTTCATTTATTTGCCCGCAAATCGACTCGGTTTAGAGGAACGAGGCGTTAGTTACAGACGAGTTCCCATATATACATGTGTGTGTATATATGTATATATGCTGAAAAATAAATACAAAAAGAGTTAAACGTTCAATTTTGAAATAATTTAATGCGTTTCGAAATATCGCTTCGACTCATCCTGCGGCAATCTCAAACTTGACAGAGGCTGTTTGAGCAGAGCACAGCACAGCACAGGAGAGCAGAGCAGAGCACAGCAGAGCAGAGCACAGCACAGGAGAGCACAGCACAGGAGAGCACAGCAGAGCACAGGAGAGCAGAGCACAGCACAGGAGAGCACAGCAGAGCAGAGCACAGCACAGGAGAGCACAGCAGAGCAGAGCACAGCACAGAAGAGCACAGCAGAGCAGAGCACAGCAGAGCACAGGAGAGCAGAGCACAGCACAGAAGAGCACAGCAGAGCAGAGCACAGGAGAGCAGAGCACAGCAGAGCACAGCACAGCAGAGCACAGGAGAGCACAACACAGTAGAGCACAGCACAGTATAGAGCACAGCACAGGAGAGCACAGGAGAGCAGAGCACAGCACAGCACAGTAGAGCACAGTAGAGCACAGCACAGTAGAGTAGAGCACAGCACAGCACAGGCTGCGGGGAAGCCACACACCCACCGGGGGCTGATTGATGGCAGTCCCCGTCGGCACAGAATCGGATGTGAATGAGAGACCTCGCGGCCAATTCCGCGTCACAACGTAACGATGTGAGTTTCCTCCTCACAGCCCCTGAACCCCGGGGGGTCGCTTACCTCCCTCTTTGGCGAACGGGTCCTCGTCGGAAAGATCGGCACTGGGGGTTTTACTCCTTCAGCCCCAACACCGCTCAACAACAACAACAACACACCCCTCCCTCCCTCTCTCCCCCTCCCTCTCACTCCCTCCCTCTCACCCCCTCCCTCTCCCTCTCTCCCTCTCACTCCCTCCCTCTCACTCCCTCCCTCTCACCCCCTCCCTCTCTCCCCCTCACTCTCTCCCCCTCCCTCTCACCCCCTCCCTCTCACTCCCTCCCTCTCACTCCCTCCCTCTCACCCCCTCACTCTCCCTCTCTCTCCCTCCCTCTCACTCCCTCCCTCTCACTCCCTCACTCTCACCCCCTCACTCTCCCTCTCTCCCTCTCACCCTCTCTCTCTCCCTCTCACACTCTCCCTCTCACCCTCTCCCTCTCACCCTCTCCCTCTCACCCCCTCCAAACACAGTCCGATCCCCTAATGCGCGAACCTGCGGTCTCGAGGGCTTTTATCTTTCGTGGTGAACAGACCGCCCACTCGGGAAAACGTCACGTCAGCCACTGGGGTAACAGTTCCCGGGACTGAGGTCCCCGATGTTTGACAAAGTAACAGACAAACTCAGCCGCTGCCAACTCCGAACTGCAACCGGTGGGGAATTAAAGGTATCGGTTGACCGGATCGACCACTGGGACTCGCTTCCACTGTGAAGGAACCCCGTGTCCCGGTCTCACCCTCATCTCATCTCACCCGCGGCGCGTCTTTAGCGGATAAAGGCAATTTAAAGCGTTCGACTGACTTCCTTCTGCTCCAAACCCGACGCCCACATTGTCAGCGGTTACATAAGCGCGTTGACGCTGACTGGTGACTGCAGGGCACGGGTTAGGGTATGGGTGTGGGTAAGGGTATGGGTAAGGTTGTGGGTAAGGTTGTGGGTAAGGGTGTGGGTAAGGGTGTGGGTAAGGGTATGGTATGGGTAAAGGTATGGGTAAGGGTGTGGGTAAGGGTGTGGGTATGGGTATGGGTAAGGGTATGGGTAAGGGTATGGGTGTGGGTGTGGGTGTGGGTATGGGTGTGGGTATGGGTGTGGGTAAGGGTGTGGGTAAGGGTATGGGTATGGGTAAAGGTATGGGTAAGGGTGTGGGTAAGGGTATGGGTAAGGGTAAGGGTAAGGGTATGGGTAAGGGTAAGGGTAAGGGTAAGGGTATGGGTAAGGGTAAGGGTATGGGTAAGGGTATGGGTAAGGGTATGGGTAAGGGTATGGGTATGGGTAAGGGTAAGGGTATGGGTAAGGGTATGGGTAAGGGTAAGGGCAAGGCTAAGGGTAAGGCTAAGGGCAAGGCAAGCTGGATTTTTTTTACCCCTGGCCTTAGCCCTGACTGATGATTGAAGGACATTTACACTATTCATCTCTGCTGACAATCGTGTTCATTTTTTTTAATTTGCCCCAAAAATCCCCACCTCCCCCCCCAATTTTTTTTTAAAAAACCCTTGCACTGTACAAATGTGAAACTTTTTTTTAAACTTAATTTAATTTAAATGATATTAAAAAAATTCACATCAGATTCTGAATTTTATTAACACTTTTTTTTCCCTCTGGTACACAAATGGTGTTTTGCAGATCCCATTGATTGATTCAGGTCAGAGTTCTGTATTTGAACTTCAGACCCGCTTCTTTACTTTTTGCAGCTGTTATCTTGGGAATTAATATTTACCGAGATGTTTGAATTCAAGATCTTTCGATTTACTTTTACAATCAAAATGTGCACGCAACATATTTGGTTAAGATACGGAGGCAGCATGAAGTTCAAATTAGTGTTCAGTCAAGGAAACTGCTAAAGTATTGTGTAAAAACAGGGTTTAAACCGATTAACAATAACAAAAGCTTGTAATATGGGCTATGACTCATGTAATGAGTTTTATCATCCTATCATAACAATTCTCTTCTTGCGGATGACACAGAGCTAAGGGTGAAGACAGCTTTTCAGATCTTGTTGATCTCATTTTTTTCAGAATAAAACCCCTACTTTGTTCCTGTTATAGCATGAAGCTTTGTTTTAAATGAGTCTATTGCCCTCAACTCTACCACCTCTTGCGATAACTTGTTCCAGCTGTTGATTTACACTCTATGTAAAGAAGTATTTCCTAAACCTCATATTTCCCAACCTCAAAAATGTGATATCTAGTGTTGCTATCTTGGCATAGACTTGAACATACAATTCTGCAAATAGATGAGATGTCCCACTGGTTGATAAAGTAACTGATTTTGACATGGATTATGAACAGGTGGCATTTATGGAGAATGAGTGAGAAAATCAGATTCTCCATTTCTTCAGGTAATAGCCCTTTTAAACCCTCATGTATGCTTAAATTTACATAAAGGGAATTACATACACTGAGGGACCTCTAGGAGCACAGAGATTCACAGGATAACCAGTAGTGGAAGTCACAATCTTGCCAAACTTTAATAAATCTATTCTTTTCCTACCAGAGAAAGCACTAAAACAGATAATACTACAAATCTGCAGATGTGGTGTTTATGGATTTTCAGAAGCTATTGATAACCTGCCTCATAGGGCCTAGTGTAATGATCAGAAGATTTTTTTCCCCCACAGAGGAGTGTGAGAATGTGAAATAAACTGTCTCAGAAGGCCACAGAGTCATAATCAATTGACATTTGATTTTGTTAGGCTTAAGAAAAAAAAGGGTCAAAGGAGCACGAGAGTATCAGCAAACATTATAAATTCAGTTCCCTGTGAGGTAGTTTTCAACTCACTGTCTGTTGACCCAGAGGCAAGAGAGTTAATAATTGAGTTAAACTGACACTTGTTCCTGTTTCGGCAGCTTTATAGTCTGAAAATACATGATCTGCAGAACAGTCACAGCCTTTTAATAAATAGAAAATATAACAGTGGGTGCCAGATTGACATTGTTTATTTTGAAAAATATATATAATTCAAAGATGGCCTTTGCACATGCTGCAGTTATATTGCACCCAACAAAGATGCAACATAATGTGTCACGTTGTACTTTATGGATCACTTTGTACTTTATGGATCGCTTAACATGCATGGTGTGTCATCATGTGTTTTGTAAACGGTGACTTTACATCTGCTGTAGTTGTCTTGAACTTTCATAAGATAGGCATTGGCATTGCTAGCTAATGATGTGAGATGAGAAATGCATAGATCAAAGTTTAAACACTTCTAGACATGCTACTGGCATTTTTATGCTCAACCTGTACGCAGAAATAAAGCTTATCAACTGTCTGTTTTCAAACAGTCTAATAGAACAAAGCAATATATCTATCTGCACAATATGAATGCTGAAAATCCAATCCAATGGACCTTTCTAGAGTAAAGCAGGAGTAAAGCAGGTTAGCAAAATTAGTGTAATGATTAGCATTCGAGTTCATAAGAAATTTGATTTTATTCATAATGCGAGAAACAGAGCAGCTCGTGGTGACCCAGCAGTAATGAGCTGTCGATTCAAAAGCAGCGAGTGAATCAGTGGAGTGGTGTACTACTCAAAAATGTCAGCAAATACAAACGTGGAAGGCAACATTCAATAGTAAAACTAATGAATGATAAATTGGTAAAAAAATAAATATTTTTGGTAAGCCAGGTGTCTGACACATGCAGAAACCCATCACCAGGCTTAAGAATGCTTGAATTTAAACCTTGAAAAGACTGGCAATCAGAACAACAACAACAAAATTACATTTGTAAAGCGCCTTTCATGTCAGGAGGACATCCCAAGGCGCTGAACAGTCGGGGATCAGAAACCAAGTGTGGGAGGACAAGGTTGGAATGAGGGAGGGCAGAGAGGTAGGAGGGTAGCTGAAGGCATGGTCGAAAAGAAGAGACTTGAAATTATTCCATGGCATTTTTAGTGGGTTAAAAATCCATAAATTTTGGCAAATTGGATATAGTTACATTTTGCATTGTTTGAAAGAAGCCGAACGATCTGAAATAAATCGGATTTAATTGCTGGTCGCATACCTTATGGTTATACTTTGTTCGAAGCATTTATGATCCTCTTAGCCAAAGTTCACAAAGTGATGACTATATGGGCTATAGATTTGTCATGGGAGGTGTTTCACAAATCTACATTATCCCAGGATGGACAAAATCTTAAGCTTGGTAATATAATAATTCCATTGGAGTTCATTACCAGAGATGATTCTCAGAGTCTGGGTCCATAAGATGCTCTGAAAGATGACGGCACCTTTACTTCAGGTACTCCCTACCTTTACAATTGTTGTGACTTCACTACAGAATTTAAACTTTCAACAAAAATGTTTTTAAAACACTAAAAACTGGAAACAAAAGAGTATTGACTCTTTTGTTAAGAACTGTACTTCTCATGGTCATTGTAGCATAACAAAATCCGTAGATGCGGACAAGCTAATTTACCCTAAGCTGTTTGAAGTGCATCGCTCATTTACAGTATTATGTTGGGCTAATTTGGGATTATATTGAAAAGATCTAATGCTGTTAGTATAAAATCCATTATGTGCTGTTCTTTGTAAAATAACCTGGAGAGCCTGTACCAAATGCACAAATAGCATGTAGTATTATACTTTAAAAGATTCAGATTATTAACAGTGCAATATACTTATTTGCCTGAGCGATTAAGAACTCAGCACCCATGTTAAAGTACAAGTAATGGCTATAAAACTGCAAAGATGTTTTGTGGGGTCCATCGAAAGGGTTTAAAATTGGTGATTTTGAAAAGAAAAGCTGTAACATTAAATAACTTCATGGAAACAGACTTTGATGGATGTGCAGAGCATGTCGATCAGTAGTAATAATAATCCTTGCATTTGATATCGTGCCTTATCAATTCTTTGAGACATCTCAAAGTGCTTTACAAAATATGCTGTAAAGTGAATTGACCGTATATTTTATGGGTGAAACACGGCAGCCAATTGGCAACAGCAGGGTCTCACAAACAGTCGTGGATTGAGTGACCAAACTTTTTAAAAAAAATTTGAAGGGATTATTACCCCCAGAAAAGCGATTCGCCAATCGACTAACAACCGGATTCCTACTTTACTGGTAGGTAAACAGAGGCCTGTGGAGTAAGGAAACTTGCCCAACGTTTCTCCCTGACCAGGAATCAAATCCAAGTCCTCTTG